GAGGATTGCTAACTAACACACCTACCACTTACATGTACTTACCCTACCTATTTCTACACTCCATCCTTTGACATTCACGCCCTATTATATGGTAATTGCCTTAGGGCTGAAAAACCAGCTCCTTGATGGTGCTACTGAAAGTTTCTTCAAACTGTAGCATGACCTTGTTTTTATCTTGTGGTCTTTCTCAGGGTTTGTTGTGCCCTTTAAAGCACATTTCAATGAGGATTCACCAATATGGCTTTTAGGAAGGTGTTATCATGCTAGGAATCACGGTAAATTGTTAAATTTAGTTTTATTTCATTTCATTCAATATTTTTTACCATTCCATTAGGATTGTCTGTCATACTTTGTCTGGCTTTTGTTATTGTTCTGTTAAAAAAGCTTCAATTTATCTATTTTGTTGTTATTGTTTAAATAGTTGATCAACATTTTTGAATGACAACAAAGTCATGTTAAAATACATTCCAACCAGCTCAAATAAAATCCAAAGTGTATGTTTATTACAGTAACTAACCAACTCGCTTACTTGCAGCTGATGTAACTGAAAAATTGTTCAACCAATGAAAACTGCATGGATGTAGTAAATTTAAAATCATTGTCCAAAATAATAACTTCACTTAATATGGCCATATTGGAGAGCAGAGATAGTGCAGAGGTGAGAGTGCTTGCCTCTCACCAATGTGGTTCGGGTTTGATTATGGCTGGGTACCATATGCAGGTTGAGTTTGTTATTGGTTCTTGCCTTGCTCTGAGGGTTTTTCTCCAGGTTCTCCGGTTTTCCTTCCTCCATAAAAACCAACATCTCCAAATTCCAATTCGACCAGGATAGAGGACCCACATGAAAAGCGTCTAAAGCTGATGTGGCTTTCTAAATATTGTGGTTATATTGTTATTTTATTGTCCATCTGTTTTGTTAACCATAGTTCAGTGGCATATATTTGACATGTCATGCATTGACTACTCAGAACTTTCGTTTGTTACAGAATTCAGTGGTGTGCAATCTTCTGACAAGAGTAAGGTTTTGAGTATGGATGAATTTCAAAGAGACTTTAATTCTTTAATCTGGTTGACATATCGGCGAGAAATTCCCCAACTTGGAGACTCCGCATTGACAACTGACTGTGGCTGGGGTTGTATGCTGAGAAGTGGGCAAATGATGATAGCAACAGGCTTGGTTTATCATTTTCTCAAGAGAGGTAAAGACGTTTAAAGAACTACTAATAAAAGTTACTAATCAAGACATTGCATTAGAGTGTCAGAACAAAAAAAAGACGCATTGTGACAAGTGCATGACGTGAGGGACTGATATTATTAGAAACCGGTTTAGACTGTTTGAGTGAGGACGAGGTGAGAGTAGAGAGCTTGTAAATGCTGAACAGACTTGCAAGGCGAATAAAATAGGTTGAAAAGTTACCCAGTGTGAGATCATTTCACGAAACCATCGTGATAAGAGCACTTTTCATTTGAGTGTTGAAAGTACTGTAACTTAATACATCAGTCTCAATTGGTACATGTAGTTCATGCAAGGCATAAGTTTGATTAAACCATTTATTGGAACTTTGTAAGGCAAATCCTAATACATGTAGGTTTAAATCCTGCTCTATTCTGTTTTTTTTTCCGATTGTACCAGATAATGGTAATTACCTAATGGTTAGTACGCTGGACCCAGAATCAAGCAGTCAAGGTTCAAGCCCTGGCTGGGATCCCTGTGTTGTGTTCTTTACTTTCACAGTGCCTTTCTCCACCCAGGTGTATAAATGGGAATCAACGATGGGCCAGCATTCCATTCAGGGTGGAGTAGAAATACTCCTAGGCTAGTGGCTTCATGCTACAGAAATTAGCAGAACCTCTAGCTGTATGGGCTATTTGGCCCAATGCAGACTTTACATTTGCCTAGTACACTGTAGTAAGTATGTTGATCAACATCCTGTTAGCGTTTTAACAGTCTGTATCTTGTGTACTTTGTTAGACTGGAGGACAAAGGGAAGATGTCACAGCAGAGAACAAGAACATTTCTACAAAACAGTGAGTAGTCAAAACAAGTCAGTACTGCACTACGGAGGCAACCTTTCTTAATACAATAAAAAGTATTATTATTATTATAACTTCCTTGTTTAGCAGAGATGCATTCAATACTAGAACAATTAAATTGATTGCCATAAATTGAGGGCAATGATGTCCCCTCTAACCTTAACTATTATTTGTTGCTGCCATGGAACAACTGTAACAATTCAATTCTCTGTAGATTCTTAGATTCTTTGGCGATCTCGAAGATGAAGAGCGCTGTCCATTCTCTCTCCATCGCCTTGTTTCTATTGGTAAACAGACAGGGAAGCAAGCAGGGGACTGGTACGGTCCTGCATCAGTAGCACATATTCTAAAGTAAGTGTTTTGATTTAAAAAAAACAAACAAACTAACAAACAAACAAAAAAACTGTCAACCATTTGTACCAGTATGGGGAGCAGTAATGGCGTAGTCACTGTGCCTAAAGTGCTCACCGGTCTCACTAGTGGGGAGCTTAAGCAATGACAATGACGACGCCTAGTAAAAAATGTATTTATATTTTACAAGCGAAGTTCACGATTGTCTAGATCTGTTCGGTAGGCCAATAACTCTAAAAAACATGCTTTAAGCTAAATATGCAACAACGGCATTCAATTCCAAATGGAAATACGAAAAATTAGCCGTGGTCATCCATGTTCTGTAGACGATGCAGAACTTGGTCATTTCGCGTTGTTGTTTTGCAGAGAATGGCAAAGAAATGTACAAAGATTTATAACATGTGCACAGCTATTGTTTTGCTCATTAAACCTTTTGCTTAGTGACGTTCTCTTTGCCATCATCGTCATGGTTTGCTTAAGCTCCCTAATGTCACCCGGCTCAAATCCAAGTTTGTTGTTGCTTTGCATCCTTGCTCAAGAGTCTGAGCATTTTTTACAGATTCTACACTTTTCCTCCTCAACAAAAACCAGCATTATAATGTCATATTCCACTCGAAACATATTTGGTTGAACAGCCACTCCATGGGTGGGCAACTGCTAATTAAAATCATCATATTAATTTATCTTCTTATTTATATTTCATTTCCCTAACTTATTGGGTGGGGTTATAATCATTTGATAATTGAAAATATCTAATGGCCATTATCATCCCTCTGAAACAGTCAACTGATAGAGATATCTGTTAACCTTGTACCCAGGTGCATTCAGCACAAACTGCAAAATAATACTTAATGATATATAATATTTATTTTATTCCCAGTTTTCTTTTTTTTTTTTCCTTATTTTTTCAGGCTTGCCATGGCAGGTGGGACACACCTTTTACTTCACGACATAAATGTTTATGTGGCTCAAGATTGTACAGGTTTATGCAACACCATTTACTTATAAGACCTAATTTCAATATTTATATTAGGCAGTCATCCAATGTTGTATGTCTGAATGTTCAAATGAAGTACTCTTTTACATCATTTTGTGGTCTGACACTAGATTTAGGGTGCGTTCCTTTATAGTGATCTGAACCAGGATCAGCGTTCCAAGATCACTCAGATCATGGTGTATCTAAGGAACTGATGAATCCATGGTCGCAGATTCGTCAGTTCCTTTGATGAACTATGATCAGAGTGATCTTGGATCACTGATCCTGATCCAAATCACCCCAAAGAAATGCACCCAAAGTCTAGATGTTCCCTACAGAACGTTACATGTACTTAGTTTACAGTTAGTCCGATGACTGTTTTTCAATATTTTCTTTGAGATAGAATTTTGAAGTTCCTGCTTGAGCCCCACACATCTATAGTTTGCAGAAAGAGCAAGGTTTCCAGAGTGGTTGTGATGTCACTTCAGGAATGACAAATCTTGGCACAAAAATTTTTCTCATAATTTCAGGGTTCGTACGGGTCCTGGAAAACCTGGAAAGTCCTTGAATTTTACTGTGGTATTTTCCAGGACTGGAAAGTCCTGGAAAAGGGCCACTGGTCCTGGAAAGTGCTGGAAATCTGTTAAACTCAAGTAAAAAAAAATATGAAATGTACGGCAGAGAGTAAAGAGAATTAAAATTGAGATCTTGGGAGTGAAAGGGTTAATGTGAATTTTAGAGTCCTGGAAAAATCAATATGAGTCCTAGAAAAGGGCTGGAATAGTCCTGGAAATTTGTCTGTGAAAAAGAGTACAAACCCTGTAATTAGGTTCACATGAAACAGTGATGATTACGCAGGAAGTTAAAAAATAATATTTTATTCACTTATTATAATTACTATTAAGGAATTCTTGATGCCATTGATGTTTAGGGGTCAGATGTTTCAAGGGTATGAGTGACTTATACACTGTACATGTAACCTTGAAACATTTGACTAGGGTAGAGTGACTAATACCATTGAAACATTTGACTCCTAAACATCAATGACATCAAGAATTACAGCAATTATAATAAGTGAATAAAAAATATTATTTTTTAACCTCTTGCTAAATCGTCTGTTCACAGTTTATACCGATGAGGTAGAACGGCTTTGTACAAGCTGTAGAACACACAGCTGGAACTGTTCCAAAGGGAGGTGGCAATCTGTTATCATTTTAGTTCCTGTTCGACTTGGCGGTGAAGCGCTAAATCCCATTTATATTCCTTGTGTTAAGGTGAGGCATTCTTTTTACAACACCTGGTAGAATTAACAATTTGCAAGTGCTTATTCAGGTCTAGAGTGATGGTCAATAAAAAGTACATTAGATAAAAGCAATAAATCAAATTTATGACTTCCAAATAATTAAACAATGCCTGAATTGCTACCAAAAAAAACATTCTTTGATTTTTATTTACCCTATAATTGTAAAGAAAATTTTTACATTGTTGTGAAAAAACAAACAAACTGACCACATTTTATCAGGGTGTCATGGAAATGACATCAAATAATGTTCAGAACTTTACAGTGAAACCACTTGCCTCGGTACACATGATTTTTGAACATTATTTTAATTTGTAGTGTTATTTCTATGGTCCATAAGAACATGGAAAATGTGTTTGATTTGTCTAGTACTGATCTTGTGATTTTTGTATAAGGTAGAAAACTTCACTTGTTTACGGAAGTGATAGATCTGATGATGTTTGTTTCTGTCAGTCCCTTTTTACGTTAGATCATTGTATTGGAATCATTGGTGGAAGGCCTAGACATTCACTTTATTTTGTTGGTTTCCAAGGTATGAAAGCTATCTTAAGTTTTCTTGTTAATCCAGTGGTACCCCAGGTAGGCATACATGTACTTGGGGTTGACAATACTAACACTGTACATGCATCTGCAGTTTACTTAGATTCCTCCCTAGATGTGCCATTAGTCGACATTTGCTCAATTAATCCGTTACTTATTCATCTCCCTTGAGCAAGTGAGAGAGCACTCTTCGAGTGACGAAAGTCTCAAGCATGAGTGACGTACCTGTTATGAAACCCACAGGCCAGGGAAGAATTATTGGAAAGTACTTTTACAAAGTCTAATCCATCTCTTGTTGCTAAATAATTTATTATAATTGTAATTACACTATACACGGTCATTCTTTTCATATGTACACATATATATTGGAGTCATTTTTCTGTCTGCAGATGATAAAATGGTTTGTTTAGATCCTCATTATTGTCAGGCAGCGGTGGATATGTCAAAGGATGATTTTCCAACACAGGTGAATAATTTTACTGTTAACTTACAACTTAGAACTTGCAAGGAATGGGGTTTTTGTCCAACTTTAGCTCTTGAATGAGCTTTTGTATAACATGCAACTTTTCAGCTCTTCAATGCATATCAGGGTGAACTGGTCAATCTTTTAAATTCTCGTACCTAAGTTTAAGAAGTAAGCAAGGAGAATTGCTAGTCAACCAAATGTAACTGTCAGAAATATCATTATTTGATATGTGGAGCTTCCTTGTCTCACACTCTTTTTTAACTGTGCAATATCTAATTTCAGTCATTCCACAGCATTCAGCCACGTACTATGTCATTCAAAAAGATGGATCCCTCATGTACTATAGGTTTTTATTGTGATTCCAAGGCTGATTTTGAGCGCTTCCGACAGCAGACAACAGAAGTAAGGCACCGCACCTTGTATTTGATTTCAGTGATCTGTTATGTAGCGTGATAAGAGTGCGATATCAGAGAACATTTCAATAACTTGTATTTCAGCGATTGCACTGACACAGACATAAATGTTAGGACTTCCTTGCACATACACTGTAAACAGTAAATGTACATCGTAAAAGTACTATTGCTTAGTTTTTGTTTGAATGGTCGCACATTAAAGTTTCTTCCACAGACTTCTGAAATAAGAACCACCACGTCTAGCTTAATACTGTACTGCTCAGTAACTTTCATTGAATCTTCACACACTGTCCAGGGTCATGAGAGTTAGAACCACATTTTACAGCAGAACAAAAGCTACTGTACACTACCCCATGAAAGTACTGATCAATGGCTTTCATTTGAATTATGGTACATGTAATAGTCACACACTAGAGATTCATCCAAAGACTTAAGTCAGGGATTGGGACTGCTGTGTTGGGAGAAGGGAGATCTGCAGTCTAAACATGAATGTGTCATTCATTTTCTTTCAGGTTTTACGGCCACCGATGCAGCGAGGTGACTATCCCATGTTTATTTTCGCATCTCATCGTAAACCGCTAGCGTCTGATGATTTGGTTCGCAGTGCAGACCTGTCCGAGAGCCTTCTAGAGAGCACGGGAACAGAACCCGAGCCTGAAATACCACAAAACAGTGTTGCAAGTGTATCAGCGATAAGCTGTAGCCATCCTCCAGAGGAGTATGTTGTTCTTTGACCAGTACTCCCGTGGAGGGTGGGGAAAGGAGTTTTTAAGAAAAGTCAGAAAATGGTGGTACATGAATACCTGAGAGAAGTTAGTGAATGTTCCGCGAGAATTATGCCGATCAATCGAATGTGAAATCTGATTCAACATTGTTGACACGATAAAGGGTTACTACACAATCAAATTCTCGCAGCAGTACTGTAGGAGAATCTTTTTTTACAATATTTACCTCATTAACATAAGCAATACAGTTTCTGACGGAGCTACAAAAACGTTGTAAACGGTTAACTGTCTCAAGGAATTTGAGCGCGATGTACTGAATGCTTTTTATGCAACGCAGGTTTAAAAACTCAAAATTTTACAAAGAATGTATGAGCTCATTAACGCATTTGCAAGCCAGAGATTTTGCAGATTTGACAGCCAATTTCTCCTCGAATATTATAGGCAAAGAGCCAAAACGTTCACCAATTACTAAGTTTTACAAGCTCTTTAAATGTTTGTAGTCAATTCGTGTCTAGCGTGATGCCTTCTCTGCGCAAAGTCGTATGTTAATGTGGAAAAATTTATTAAACAATGACGTCAGCAAAGATTCTCCTATAAGAAATCTGTGCAGAGCACTAAGGAGAAAACTTTTTCTGTCCTACTGCTGATTACGTTAAGATAATTAATTTTATTTTCTTCATAATTATGTGCCACTTGTGTTCTATGAAGATTTCTTATTCCATTCCTTTCGAGATGGCAGTATAAATTAAAGTGTACAGTGTATATTGAGATTTTTATGAAAAATTATGATAATTGGCCATTGGTCGTTTGTTCATAGGTACAAAGCACTGAATTTTTTTAATTATTTGCACAATAATGAATTATTGTACGTTTGGTGTAATCTCCAGTTCTACAGCCGTTACCATATTTCGAATGTCACGCAATTCTTAACGTTGTGTGCATGTCAACTCGAATTCGTCATGTCACGCAACGCAGAGTTTCTGGAAAAAGACAAAATAAAAACAAAACTGCGTTTTTCAATTACCAAACGAAAGAAAGAGATGTGAATAGACTGAAACATTTGAAAGTATGTGAGATGTGTAAAGAAAGGGAAAAAAAGAATGGATATATTTTTATTAATAAAATTCTTGATGCAAACAGGTTTTTATTCAATGAATTATGAACAGTACTTTAGGCTACAATATTACAGGTTGATTCGAAACGTTTTGTGATATTATGAAACCACGAGTCAAAGATTTATTAGGACGTGGACGGTAAAGGCAGGGACAAACGCTCTTAAAACAGAGCGATATGCACATTGTACAATCACAGGCACCCAAATTCTCTCAGTGAGTCTGCTATGTGGTGTGTGTGTTGTGTACATCCCTTTCCCGTTAGCAAGAGAACATGAAGAGTGAGAGAGTTAATCCCCAACATAAGCCTTATTCCCAAGGTAATCCCGCTCAAGTTATTTTTAGATCTGGTATCCAGTCCTCCCGCGGATAACGATGTTACCACGCGTTGTAAGTAAGTAAGTAAGTAAGTAACCTTTATTTAAACACGATAAGTAATTAAGCATGCAGCTTGTGGGGTCGTGTGTAAATAAACAATAAAGAATAATTACAAAATAAGAATTAAAAAATTTACAATGTAAGATCTAATCTAGTTTGAATAAAAATTTGTAGCTAATAATAATTTACCTAATTTGGTAAAGTTGTGGTGAAAAAATGCGTGTAAAGTAGCTTGTTCCAGGCTTCTCGTCAGTGGCGACGATCGAAAAAGCGCGCGGGCTCACCACTGACCAAGAGCCTGGGGCAGGCTTCGTGTAAGGCTGCTTAGGCTGTCCACGCGAGAAAAATTCTGTGTTACAGGATTGGCCATTTCTAGACCCTCGTAAAGGTTCTGAAGCTGGGATTGATCTAAATAGAATACTTGAGAGGTAATACTTTAGGAATAAGGCTTACATGCGAAATGAACTCTCTTAGCTTCATCCCCTCCTGGCTCATTTATTTTTAGGACGGTGCCTACTTTTGTTGGTGCGCACACGTTCTGCACATCACGCAAGCCATGGTTTAGCTCCACGCGCGCGCTGGGGCTGACATTGACGCAATCAACTACGCTATCACGTACAC